GTGGCATTGTTCCACTGCAAACATTTTCAACCCACAATGTCATTCAAAAGGGTTCTCCTCCTGGATTAGAGATTAATTTCAAGCAGGGATAATGTTTAGGGGTATTATGGGTTTTGGTTAAGTATTTGGAATTAATATTTTTAATACAAGAACAGAAACCCTAACCTAACCTTTGCCACCTGGCCGACCCCTCCCCAAGGCCTTTAAAGCCCAGGGGGGCTTCATTTTAAGGCTTCAAATTGCCTGGGTCTAGCCCAGCAGTTCTCAATCGGGGTGACTTTTCACCTCTCCTGGGGACATTGGGAAGTGTTTGGGGACATTTTTGGCTGTTAGGACGGGGGGAGGGTGGCATTGAGTGAAGAGACTAGGGACGCTGCTCAATATCCTGCAAAGCACAGCACAGCCCCCAACCCAGCAAAGTTAAGGGGCAGCTCCAGGCAGCCTGAGGCCACTGGTCACCCCACCTCTCACCACCCCTGATTTTCCTTCCCATCACGGGGCTTAGAAAAGTGAAGAAGCCTCGTTATCACAGGAGGTTTGGGGATAGGGAAGATGGGAAGAGTCTTTCCATCCTGTCAAAATGCTCCCATCTGGGACCTCCCTGGCAGTCCAGTGGTTAAGACTCTGAGCTTCCAATACAAGGGACGTGGGTTCTATCCCTGGTTGGGGAACGAAGATCCCACATGCTGCATAGCAAAAAAAAAAAGAAAGAAAAAAAATGCTTCCATTGGCACTCAAGCAGGCACAGCTGTCCAGGCTTTTTCTGGAGACCAGAGCCTCCCCACTGGCCAGAGGAACCATGCTACTTGGTAATTCGGTTCCTTAATACAGTTTTGTTGATTAATAATCAAGCAGTTTCCAACTGTGCATTTCAGCCACAGGGCAGTCACCTACAGCTGTCCTCTCCTCGAATCCTCCCAGCAACCCACGGGCACTCTAACTCCCCATCCACAGATGGCAAAACCTAACCTCCAAGAGGCAACTTGCCGAGGCCCCATAGCCAGCACTGGGGTCATCCTGACCCCAGAGACTGAACTCATTAATGGCCAGTCCCTCCTGCCCCTCCAGGAAGCCTCCAACTCTGCTCTTTCTCTGGGGCTGGTCCCATCTCCACCGGGACCTCAGTGGACCCTGGAGAAGGAGGTCCGTGGGACACAGGGGTCCCTACGTTGAGGCATGTTCCAAGAAGGGGAGAGAACAAAAGGAAACACATACAGAACAAAGAAAACAGCCTTCAACCGCTTGAAAACTCAAATCATGCGTGACTTATAGTGTTAACTGTTAAATTCTTAAGTTAGGGAATGCGCTCTGTGTGAAAGAGGAAGACCTGGGCCAGGGAGAAAATTCAGCACGAGGAGTAATTTACATCTGTCTGAATTCAGCCACGATTCTTTTTACAGGTCCCATCACCCACTCCCCATCTGACAATAGGATCATCACAGTAACAACAGCGTTAAAGACAAGTCACCTGCAGTATTTACTGTGGGCTTGGCGCAGGGCCAACAGCTTGACCAATGTCATGTCCCGTAATTCAATAAGCCCACACTGCAAGGCCTATGAGTGGCCCCGATCTGCAGACGAAGAAACCGAGGGTCAGGGTGGCTAAGGTCACACCCTGGAAAGGGACAGAGCCTGGACTGGTGCCCAGTCCGCTTGACTGCAGTCTAGGTGTGCACTCAGTTCCTCTAACCAGGAACCAAGGACTGGCACAGACAAAGGTCAGCTCGGGTCTCCCGATGCAGGCCTGCCTCCGGCTGCAGTGTCCAAACGGACCTGGAGCCACCGCAGGTAGCCCAAGGCCTTGAAGACTCACAGGTGGGGAAACCGAGGCTCTGGGCCAAGTCTGCCCCCCCCCCAACACAGCACGTCCATCTCCGCAAAACTCAGTCCCTTCAACTCTCCCCAACTTTCCTCTTCCTGGCGCTCACAGGAGGACGGAACTTTCCAAGTTCAGAAGGACCCTCTGACTTCCCTATTCTTTCTCGGGAAGAAAACAAGCTTAGCCTAAAAGCCTAGAAAAACCTTTGTGTCTTGCCATTTGTCCTAAATGCCTTGCAAAGCCTGAGAATACTTTGGGCTTAAGGCTTCTAAGGGAAGGTCCACACCAAGTAACTAAGAAGCATGTTTCCCTTCTTGGGATGGAAAGCCAGCTCCCACCCCCACAACCCCTCCTGGTTTAATAACCACTTGGAGAGTCAGGCCTGCAGCATAGATGTCAGGCAGACAGCGGGGAGCAGACGAGTGTCCAGATATGGCCCACGTGCCTCTCGGGGTGGCCATGGTCACACCTAGTTTTCAGTTTTTCCATGATTCTCCTGTTGCCGTTGTAACATCAGAGTCACAGCTGGAGAAGCCACAAGATTTGGTGTCCCCTCCCCATCCATGGGGGGTTCTTAAATCAGTTTCAAATCAGAGGGCAAGTCTGCTACAGGACGGGAGAGGTGTGTTGCAGGGGTGGATCTCAAGAGGCTGTGGGTGAGCATCCATGGCCACTCCCAGGGGTCTAGCTGGGGGGCGGTCTGGTGCCCTCAGAAGCCTCCTCGTGCTCAGAAACGGCTCTGTCCTCACCCTGTCTTAGGCAGCCCTTCAGGTTAAGCCACTTCCCTCTCTGTCTACCGCTGCTCTTTGCACACTCAGGGTGACCATCTCCAAGATCAGGGCACCTGCCAGGATCCCAGGGGGCCACACTGAGCGCTACATTATCCTGGGGACATTCTACAGAACGGGCTGGAGAGAAGAGGCCCGTGGGCTCCTCTTAGCTCTTAGGGGCCCCCTGGAGCCTTCTGTACACTGACGATGGAGGTTCACAGAAAGTGGCCTTCTGCCCCGGAGAGAAACACTGCACTGCAATGCAAACCGCGTTTCTAAAACCCTCTGCAACAAAACTCCGTCCTGAACAGAGAAAGCACGCGCCCCCCCCCCCCAAGGTCTTGATGTGCCTCCGAAAATGCTGGGGGACAAGATCAGGCCCAACACAGAGCCCTGCACCTTAAGGCTGGAGGCTGTGGAGGCTCGTCTCTCCTTCCTTGAGTGCCCACCATGACCACGTGGGCTGGCGGAGGCCTGAGCCGGGCCAAGCCCCAGCCCCTCCAGTGACCCGGGACAGCACGCCTGCTTTGCCAAAGAGGCTCCCAGTGGAGTGTCCCTCTGCTTCCTGGGCATCTTGTGGGGAGGGAGATGGGAACCCTAGGGGAAGAGGCCAGGGACAGCGGAAGGGAAGGTCCTAGAGCCATGACCCCGACTGAGAGCACTTCCACGTCTGCCTCATGCTTCCCTCTGGCCCTGGAGAGACAAAGCGGCCCCCTCCCGGAAGCTTGCTCTTAAGCAGTACTCACATGCCCTGCTCCCCATACTGGTTGTAGAACTCCATGTGGCTGCATGCCTGAATCCAGCCGACTATCCAGGTCTCCTTCTTGGGGATGGGCGGCATGACCACCTGGGCAGAGGCACGGAAGTGGGGTGTCCGGTAGCGGAGCACCACGCTGGAGGACTCATCGATGCTGGTGGGGACGGGGTCAATAGAGGCCTTCACATCGATCACCGTGATGCCTTCCCGGAAGACTCTGGCTTTGCCTCCGATGCTCTGAATGCAGCCCATGGCACACAGGACCGCTCTGATCTCCAGGGAAGACCAGCAGTCCCAGGGGAAGCTGGGCATTGACAGGATGGAGGCCGCGGGACCCAGTGCAGACACTACAGCTCTTCAATCTCAAATCCCAAGACCGATATCCATAGGATAGAAGATTCACAGAGTCCGGGGGGTTCGCGTATCACTACCGCGGGGCCACTTTATAAAGAAGGATTTTGCTGCATTTCAAGGGCCCCGGGTTTTCTCTTCTGCGAGCAGTGAACAAAAATCACCGATATTCTTTGGGTTAAAAAAAGGAAAGTTTGGAGGTTAATGGATAAGCATGTTGTTCAGACATCCAGCCCTTCCTGTGCCTCACACGCGGGGAACGCAACTCCCAGACGCTCCCTGAAGTCTTCGGGCGAAGAAGGCAAATGCCGGCAGACACATAAATAAGGAAGGCTGCGTCCCCTGCGCGGTGTCGCCACCCTGGCTGCCAGAGACCGACTTCCTGCCCTTCTGCCTTCCGCACGCGCTCGGGCACACGCACCCGGCCGCTCGCCCGGTCGGGTCGAATCAATGGGAGAGGAGTTTCTGTTCAGTCGGCCGAGGTCCGGGGGCCCTCTGGAGCTTCCAGGAGGGCGAGCGCCCGTGGCGGGCCGCCCGCGGGGTCCCTGTCGGCGCCCACTCGCGGGCGCGCCGCGTCCCCTCGCCGCTGTCGCTGTCGCCGCCCGCCGCCGCCGCCGTCGCCGTGCGGGGGCCCCCGGGGCTGCGCTCGGGCCGCCGCCTGGTTCGCCGCGGCCGCCGAGGACCTGGGGGGGAGGAGTGGAAGGGACAGGGCGTCAAGGCCCGCCTCAAAGTTGAGCCGAACTTTGCTGCGGGGGACGCGCGGGGCGGCGACGCGTGAGTGCGGGCTGCGGAGCTGACCGCGCACCTCTGGGCGGTCTCCCCGGAGGCCGTGGCCACCCCCCCAACACCCGCCCGCCCCGTCAGTGGCGGCCGCAAGACCGCGCGCACCAGCGAATAATCGCCGCCCGTGACATCTCCGCTGACACCTCGCGGCCCGGAGGCGGGGTCGGGGAGGGGGAGGCCACCACCTGGCACTGCAGTGGGCCTCGTGGACTTTTGGATCCTGGCACTGCCCCCACCTCCTCGCCGCCGGCGCCCCTTCCCGGTCAGACTCCCTCCGGGCCCTCCCCCCCACGAGGGGCGCAGGGCCACCCTGCAGGCTGGGCAGGTCGGACGCACGCCCCTTCCCGAGCCAGGGTTTCCCGGGCTCCCGAAGGGCGCAGTGTCCCTGCCCCGCCGCTTTTATGCCCCTCTAGCCAGCCCCGAGTGGCCCCCCGATCCCCGCGCGTCCGGCGCGCTCGCCGCCGCCGGGGAACTTTGGCGCGCACGCCCCCACCCGGGCGGCGCCGCAGACTCACCTGCCCCTCGGGCCGCTCCGCGTGCCCGGGCTGCCGCCCTCCGGAAGCCCCGACCCCACCAAGGGTACGTCCTGGGGGCGCCCCCACCCCCTTTCTCGGGGAAGTGTCCTTTAGCTCTGCAGGGGTTTGGGGGCCGGCGTGGACGCCCCCCCGGCCCCCAAGTCCTCCTAGCTCGGGGCTGCCCGGCGGGTGGGGGTCGGGGGTCGGGGGTGGCCGGGGGCGGAGGGGTGAGGCTCGGAGCTCTCTCGCCCCCACCCCGCTCGCCGGCTTTATTTTATGATCATCGTGAGCGTGCTGCCGCCGCTCAGCCCCGCCGCCGCGCCGCAGCCGCCTGGCGCGCCCCGCGCTGCCTCGCTCTGCTGCAGCATCGGAAAGGCAACCAGGTCAAACTTTGCAGAAACTCAGCCCCTGCGCCGGCCTGGCCCCGCGTCCGCCCGCAGCCGCCGGCCGGGAGCGCAGCGCACAAACGACATTTCCTTTTTGGCTAGCTCCGGGAATTCTGGGTAGTGTAGTCCGACTTCTGTCTCCGGTCCAGGTGGGCTGCTCCTCTTGCCCTTTGAACTCGGCGGGCTTTCCCCCCGATCAGGGCAGGCGGAGGGGTGGGAGGTGGACGTCGCCCTGGCCTGGCTGGTTAGAGACAGTGCAGGACTCTGGGGGAGGGCTCCAGGGCTGGGAGGTTGGGGGTGGGGGGAGAAGGGGTAAAGCTCTCTGTGCTGCTTGCTCTCTGTGCCGGGCCTCTAGGCACCCCGACAGGTGGTCAGGGCCTGTTGGGCACCGACTGTGATCAACACTGGACAAGCCTAGTCATTTCATTTACCATCAGCCAGAGCCCCCATGAGAAGCTTATCGTGTGTATTTCACAGGGAATCCAAAGCTGGGAGATTTCCAAGACCTGCCCGCCAGTCCCACCCAGGTGGGTGTCCCGGCTGAGACCAGGAGGTCTACGTGCAGAAGAGGTCCTAGAGGGGTTTGACCCTGGACAGGGGGGATCGCTGTTAACCTCTCTAAACATCTCAAACCAGGACCCACCCCCACTAACCCCCACCTTGGAAACGCCACCAGGGAAAGGGGGAAAGGCCAGGCTGTTTGTGACATCAGAAAACCTGGTAGCCTCACTAGAGCCATGCCCTTCTCCCATGACTCTGCCCACCACCAGGCGCAGGGCAGAGCATCCTGACGGCCAGTGAGGGCAGGATTTGGAGGAGCGGAGGGTTCCCAGCACTCTGAGGTCTCCTCTTTGAGGGGTGATCAGCCAGCCAAATGATCCATCTCATACCAGCAACCAGCTCAGGCCACAGGCAGGAAGTGTCCAGTCGAGGTGGCCACTGCGTCATGCCCAGCTGCACCCCTGCCCTTGCCCTGATGACTGCCACGGGCCCTGAGCCTAATGAGGAGTCATCCCTTTCCAGGCAGGTCAGCTAGTAAGTGGTTTATTCCTGGTCCTGCTGACTGAGACCAAGGTGTGGTGGCCCTCGGGATCTGCCTACTGCCAGGAGGGAGGAACCCCATAGGGCTCCGAGGGACCCCGTGTAAATTTCCACTTCCGGGAAGAAGCTTTTCCTGGCCTCAACCCACAGCGTCTTCTCCCTGCCATGAACCCGTGGCCTCCACCAAACATCCTGCCCTTCTTGGATGCATCTCAGCCTTCACCCACTTCAGCTGGTGGGTGAATTATTACTCTGTTCACTTTATATATAGATAAGACATTAACTTTGGGGGTGTCCATCTCATCTGCCCACAACATCAGCTCCAGTGCCTAGAATACTGGAGTGGATAGCCAGTCCCTTTATCCAGGGGATCTTCCCAACCCAGGGAAAGAACCTGGGTCTCCTGCTTTGCAGGCGGATTCTTTACCACTGAGCCACAGGGGAAGCCTGCACTTCTTGCTCATCCGACGTGAAAGAACAGAAGTCAGAACCCTAAAGTGCCTCCTAAGCAGCCACGCCCCCGGAGATGATTTCCAAGAGTCGAGTGTCCTTGATGCCTCTTAGAAGTGACATTACACCCTGCAGTTCTGGGCTTGGTTGGCCTGGGTTCATGATGATGATGATGATGATGATGATAAGGTGTGCACCACGTGTCCATATGCGTGCGTGCTAAGTCACTTCAGTCGTGTCCAACTCTTTGCGACCCTCTAGACTGTAGCCTGCCAGGCTCCTCTGTCCATGGAATTCTTCTGGCAAGAATACTGGAGTGGGTTGCTGTTTGCTTCTCCAGGGGCTTGTCCCAATCCAGGGATTGAACCCACATCTCTTATGTCTCCTGCATTGGCAGGTGGGTTCTTTACCACTAGCGTCACCTGGGAAGCCCACCACACCACTGAGCAGATATTGTCTCTTCTGACCTCCTCAGCCCCAGGAGGTGGGCTGGACAGAGAGACCCATAGGTCAGGTTTTCCAGAATCTGCATGCCCACCTAGATCTGGCCAAGTTCAAAGCCCACTTATCGCCGCCTCTAGGCATGCCCCCCCTTGCCTGGGGGCCAGCCCCCTCTGAGCCCGGGTGGAAGTGACACTAGAAAACCCTGTGTCTGGTAAGTCCCACCAGAAGAGTACTCGGGTGCCCAAGGGGTGAGCGAAAAATAGAAAACACCTGACCCTCAGCCCCAAAGATGCCTCCTCTGCCATGTCACCTCCTAGGCAGTATTTTGTCTCGGGCTAGTTCAAGGGCCAGTTCTGCAGAGGAAGAGTGCAGGCAGTGTCTGGGGGCTTCTCCCCAGGCTCTGAGCTAAGGACGGGCACCCCCGGGGCCCACCTTGAGCGATGGAGGGTCTGAAAGGGCCAGCCCACACCTGCCTCCCCTGCCCCGGCTCCCCACGGGCCCTCTGAGGCCTGGCGGCTTCCCTAGCTCTCGCGCCCTCCAGCGCTCCTGCCTCTCTGCGCAGCCCTGCTTCCTGCTCAGCGTTTTCTGGAGTCTGTGGGTGTTGTGCACAGACCCACGGCTGTCTCAGCATATGTGAGGGCCCATGAGGCCTCCACACGAGACTGAAAAGCTGGCGTCTGCAGAAAAGAGGAAGGGGTCATCTGCTTGTGATGTGCCTAGCACCACGGGGATGCTCACATGCCCCCCTCAGACCTCAGTCTCCCAGACTCTGCTGCGTTGATGTCACCAGTGAAGGGGAAAGAGCAGAGGTCAGGAGGCACAACCCCATCCCCCCCTCGGGGGTGGTGAACTCCCCAAGGTGGCAACTTGGGAGCTCCAAGTGCCGATGGTGAGAGGGCAAGGTTCCTCAGTTCGCAGCACGTTGGCCCAGAGAGGTCGTGAAAACCCCAAATCACACAGCAAACCAGAGGGAGAAACAACCTGACCGCACCCAGCTGGGTTTATATATATAAATACACACACACACACACACACACACACACACACACACACACATTCATTGACGGTGCCAGGTCACAGTTGCGGCTCTCAGGATCCTCAGTTGCGGCATGTGGGATCCAGTTCCCTGACCAGGGATCAAACCTGGGCTCTGGGGACCTCGGAGTCCTAGCCTCTGAACCACCAGGGAACTCCCTGAGCTGGGTTTTAACACCCAGCACCAATGAGTCCAGAGCCCTCCCAGGTCCGCAGAAAGAACTGGATGCAGGGTCTCCTCACTGAACATCACTGTAGCCAGGGTCTCTGCATGCATCAGCTTCATGGCTCTCCATGACAACCCCGCGAGCCGGTCCCATCACCAGCCCGTTCCACATATGAGGATACTGAGGCCTGATGAAGGAGGAGGAGGGGATGGAACCCGCCCACCCAGCTCTGAGACCTGGAGACTGGTGGATTCGATGTAGCAGGCATTCTCACCAGCATTCCCTGCAGTTGTCCAGCTGCTAAGTCATCAGACTCTTTGTGACCCCATGGACTGCAGCACACCAGCCTCCCCTGTCCTCCACTATCTCCCAGAGTTTGCTCAAACTCACGTCCATTGAGTCAGTGATGCCATCCAACCTTCTCATCCTCTGTTGTCCCCTTCTCCTCCTGCCTTCAATCTTTCCCAGCATCAGGGTCTTTTCCAATGAGTCGGCTCTTCACATCAGGTAGCCAAAGTATTGGAGCTTCAGCTTTAGCATCAATCTTTCCAATGAATATTCAGGGTTGACTTCCTTTAGGATTGACTGGTTGGATCTCCTTGCAGTCCAAGGGACTCTCAAGAGTCTTCTACACACCACAGTTTGAAAGCATCAGTTCTTCAGCACTCAGCCTTCTTGATGGTCCAACTCTCACACCCATACATGGCTACTGGAAAAACCATAGCTTTGACTACTTGGTTGGCAAAGTGATGTCTCTACTTTTGAATACGCTGTCTAGGTTTGTCACAGATTTCCTTCCAAGGAGCAAGTGTCTTTTAATTTCATGGCAGCAGTCACCATCTGCACGGCCACAGCTGGTCCTCCAAGAGCTCTCAGTCTCAAGAGTGCAGTCATCATGAGACCAGAAAGGCATTTCACAGGTGGGAAAGCCCTTGTTCTACAGATGAAAATGTTAAGTGCTGGAATTCTGTTGCCCTGGGAGACAGGGTTCTATCCTTAACTGTTCAGGACCAGACAGGAAGCCAATGACGAGACTTGAAACGTCCATCTGGGAGACGGGCAGGCAGGGTTGGTGGGCCGGGCAGGTGGCTGGAGGGGGACATGTCAAGAGGTGAGGAGGCTACAGGGCCCACCTGGCGTGACTGAGACATCTTACCTCTGCAGGGAGTGGGCTGGGACTGGCCAAGCCGGCACAGCCAGGGTCTCAGAGCAGGCTCTGAGCTCGCCTCCCCTACAGAGGGAGACACAGGCCCCACAAGGTCACGCAGGGAGGGCTCTGGGACTAGAAGCCGGGCCTCCTGGCCCCCAGGTTTGTGAAAACCTCACTCTCTCTGCAGGGGCAAAGGCGTGTCATGGGGTCCTGCATAAAATCAGGTGCCTGGGGTGTCCGCAAATCTTTCCAGCCAAAGGCTCAGGCACACATTTCTTCTAGGTCTGATCAGCTGGCCTCCCCACCATCTCAGGCCCCTGCATTCCCTCCCCCATATTGACCAGACAACTGCGCTGGGGGCTCAGAAGACACTGGGGAACACAGGCAGGCCCTAGACAGACAACAGACCTGCTCCCCTCAGCACTCACATCCCCGTGGGTCCCAGAGATGCCAAGAATGATGAATAGAGGTATTAACATGAATAATAAATGGTACAAATTCATACTCGAAAGAGTCATGAGTAAGTATTGACTGCTATAAATTAAGATGTGTATGAGTAATTTGCTTTGATGTGCGTGTCCAGTAGTGAGCTTGGGGAGGGGAGGGTGAAGGATGCATGTTCCATCCTTGTATGAGGCAGTTAGAGTGTGTGGGTGACTGTGTGTGTAAATGAGTGTGACAGTGTGAGTTTGTATGTGTGAGGGTATATGTGACAGTTGTGTACACGTTGTGTGTCCAAGTGGGTGCATGTATGAGGTGTGTAGTCGTCTGAGTGACCACAAGTGGTGTGGGTGTAGATGAGATTGTGTGTATATTGTGTATGGAGGTGTGTGCCTTGTATGACAATATATGTGAGAGTGTTTGTGAGTGCAGAGGGCAGTTTGCTGGTTGTGCAGTGTATGTCTGTGTGAGTGTGCATGATGGTGTGCGTTCATGCGTGTCTGTGGGGATGGATGTGAGCCCGTGTGTCTGTGGGTGAGAGTGTGTGTGCAGATGTGTGGATGTGTGTGTGACGGTGAGTGTAGGGGGGGAGCACTTTTGGGGTATGAGTGGGGGGGCCGTAGGGGCGTGTGTGAGTGTGCATGTCTGTGCATGTGTGCGTGCTGGATGTTATTTGGGGCTGGAGAGGATCGTTAATGAGCCAGTGGGATGGACAGCAGAAAGGGTGGGGGAGGGCTTGCTTCTTCCAGCCTGGCGCGCAAGGGCCAGTCGGCATCCCCGGCTTCGCCATCGGAGCCGCAGTTCGGAGCAACAAACGCCTTCGCAGGTGTCTCTAACGCACTCCGTCCCCGCAGGAGGGAGCAGCGGCGCCCGGGTCAAGCACAGGCGCCCCGCCTCCCACCCGGTCACCTGGCACCGCCCCCCGGCGCCCCCGCCCCGCCCGGGCATCCTCGCGGCGGCGGGGGTGGGCATCACAGTCCCGCGTGCCGCAGGTGCGGGAGGACGCGGGCGCCGCGCGTCGGAGGCTCGTTCGGCCCGGCCCCCCGCGCGCGCCCCGCCGCCGAGAGCCACGGGGACGGAGGCGTGGTCAGCAGGCTGGGTGCGGCCTCGGATCGGGTGCGGCACTGGGAGTTCTCCAAGGTGCTAAAATAAACCCAGCGAAGGATCAGGTTTCCCGACCGAAATAGCCCAGGAGCGGCCTTGGAAATGCGAACTGAGAAAGCGATCCGGGGCGGGAGCTGGCCGGGTCGGGGGAGGCGGTAACGAAAGATGCTTTTCGCAAGGCTGCCCCTCCCTACTCTCCCCTCCAGCTCTGCCTCTTCCTAGAGTGGAGCTTCTCACCCCTCCCCTCCTCTTTTTGGGGTCATCACCCCCAAATAACCCGCCTCCTCTTGGCCATCCGTCTCTGGGGGCAAGATCTGTAGATCAGAGCCCGGCCAGCCAGTCATCCCATATCCGTTTACTGAGCTCCTACTAGGTGCCAGGTGGGCTTCCCAAGTGGCTCGGTGGTAACGACTCCGCCTGCCAATTCAGGAGACGTGGGTTCGATCCCTGGGTCCGGAAGATTGTTGGAGAGGGAAACGGCAACCCACTCCAGTACTCTTGCCTGGAGAATCCCAGGCTAGAGGAGCCTGGTGGGCTACAGTCCACGGGGTTGTAAAGAGTCAGCACCAGCCAGATTCCAGGCTCCCTGGACAACCTATGCCCCCAAAGGAGCAAACACAACAGGCCCTGCCGCATGAGCTCACACGCGGCTAGGAGGACACAGGTGCTAAGCCCCTGCAGAGTAAGTGTATGATGTGTTAGAAAGGAAACTGACCAAGGGGAAGATAAAAGGGCAGGAGAGGGTACGGGGTATCAGGGTGACCTTTGAACCCCGAGGTATCCCGCTGGCTCACTCCATGATTCAGAGAGAATCCCTTCACCTCTGAGCTCTGGTGTTGTCATTTGTGCCTTGGGACTAAAATCCTGTCTATGAAATTTCGGTAATAGTTGAGACAAACATTTAGTTCTGAGTCTGCCAAGGAGCAATGTTAAGTACAAGTTAATGATAAATACGCTCACTAGTAGTAGTGGATCTATCTTAAACATTTAAAGACAATGAATAGCAAGTGTCTATGATGTACAAACAGCTCTAGACCCCAGGATGTTGCCAGAAAACCTCTCCTGCCTTCAAGTGACAGGCTGTGTAGTCAAGTGGTTGGGGCAAGGACTTTAGGCTGAGTCCTGAGTCACTTGATTGCACACCACAGACTCCCCTCTCAATAACGGACAGTGCTAGAAGGAAGAAGTCATATGGACCACGGGCCAGGTGAGGCAATGGTTTGGAGAGGCCAGGTGGTCTGCAGGCATGTGGCCATCTTTGTACTTCCCACTGGTCTTGCGTGGGGAGGGGGGTCTGACACATGGCAGACCCCAAAAGGTGTTCCAGGGGCTTCCTTGGTGGTCCAGTGGTTAAGACACCATGCTTCCAGTGCAGGGGGCACAGGTTCAATCCCTGGTCAGGGAACTAAGATCCCTCCTGCCACAAAATCAGAAAAAGAAAAAAAAATCAAGTGTTCCAAGAGTGAGAGAGTGAATGAGTGAGTGACAGATGAGACCAAGTAGGTAGGGAACAGAAAAACTGCGGGAAACAAAAAAACTCATGGCTGGGAAGACAGCCTTCTGGCTCAGAGTTATAGGGATCAGCCAGCCCACATCTAAACTCTGGTCTTGCTTGATCAGCTCTGTGGCCTCATAGGTGATGTCACCACTCTAGCCTTTTCTTCCTCGGCTCTAACACAAGAGTGTGGTCAGACTTGCCATGTTGGCTAGAAGTGTCTCTGACCTTGTCCTGGTTTTCTGGGTCTGGGCACTGCAGTAGGTGGCTTAGGTTGACCCATCAGATCTCATGGGGTTGCATCCAAACATGCCATTTTATCTGGTACTCGCTGCTGTAGCCACTTATTTATATTCTGCCTAGGTGCACAGGGGTGTATGTGTGAGGATGGCTATGCCACCTAGTACTTAATAGTTTTGAATAGTCACAAAATAGAAGCAATCTACATGTCTAAAAACAAAGAATTGCTTCTACAAAGTTTGGCCCATCCACATGACAAAATATCAAGCAGTCGTTGAAAACTGATGGGTTATCACGGAGACATTGCCAGGTCTGCATTGTTACATGAAAAGGGAGGGGTTAAAAAAAAAAGAAAAGGGAGGGGTTAAAAGGGTATATAAATACAGTCATATTTTAAATGCATATTTGTTTATCTCTGCATTTGCTATACATAGATACAAGTTAATAGATATCCTTTCTGATTGTTAAAGTAATATGTGGTTGTCATAAAACATTTCAATAATTAGAAATGAGAAGTGTGGATTCCTGTGTAACGTGACCATTCTCATGTTAACAGTCATGGCACCCAGGCAATAGAATTATATGTATATATATGTATATATATATATATTTTTCTTTTTTGCAGCACCATGCAGCATGTAGGATCATAGTTCCCTGACCAGGGATGGAATCTGTACCCCCTGCAGTGGAACCACAGAATCTAAACCACAGGAACACCAAGGAAGTCCAGGGTTACACCTGTATTATATCATCTGTATTCATTGAATTTATTGCTGTTAGACCGTAACATTTGACAATAAGAAAAAATAAGGCTATTGGTAAAAATACATTGTTTTGGAATCTGGCTAGTTATTTAACAGGTGTATATACTATCTCCCCAACTACACAGAAACTATAAGCAGGAAGAGATCAATGAAAGCATCAATTCAATGGATGGATGAATTCTAAGACGCTTGAGAAGTGGGACAGTGTAGCCTGTGGTAGATGCTCATAAAGGGATGGCGCCTGCTTCTCAGTTGCCTGAGACAGTGAACAGGGTCACCCCAACTTACAGATGGAGGGGCAGGTCTCAGTCTGAGTGAGCCCCCTGGGGGAGAAAGAGAAGCCAGGAGTACTGGCAGGACGTGCCTGTAGTTGGTAAAGTAGAGGAAGCTGAGCTGGGGTTTGAACCCAGGGTTGACCCAATCCAAAGCCCACTTTTCACCACTCCTGGGCCGAAGTCCAGTCAGACTCCATGGCCCTCCCCGGCATGGAGCCCATCGTAGCCCTGGGAACCTGCCGGCAGCTCTTGCCAGGCCAAGATGCTGACACAGGCCTCTGGATATTAATAGCCCATCTCTGGGCTAGGCTCCTCCTCGCCTCCTGAGGTCAGCCTGGATCATGGGCCCCACCCGGGAAGAGTGGGGTGAATGCCCTAGTGGAAAGCTGAGTGGGCACATCCCAGTCCCTGTGGTCTGCAGCATCTGAGTCTGGAGGCCCCAGGGACTTCTTGGGAGTTGGGCCTCACCTCTTCTGGGTTTCATCCCTCTGAGCCTCAACTTCCTCATCTGTAAAGTGGGCATGATATCATGACTTCGCAGGAAGGTTGGTTACATGGTGTCAATAAGCTAGAACACAGAGAGACCACAGTGCACTGCCGGCTCTCCACGCGCTCTGCACCTGCATCTGTCCAGGCTCAGGGCGGGGCCGCACAGGTCAGCAGGGCCACGCCCAAGAAGGTGGGATGTGACCCAGTCTGGGACATCCTCCTCTGTGGCTGCATGGTCTGAGTGGAACATTCTGGAAGAGAAGTGCCAGGGAATCCACAAGGAACCTCAGACTAAGGATTCCCGGTGTCTGGCTTCTCACCAGCCAGGTATGGAGGTGGGGCCAGACCTTGGGGGGCAGGCGGGTGCTTCTGAAAGGGTCACTCAGAGGAGAGGCCTTTGCCTCATTTGTTAAACAGACCAGTTCCTAACCCGCAGGCTTGAAGGCTCACTACGTGGCAGCACAGCTGGCCTGCTCAGCACTTTACATCAGTGACACATCAACTCGCTGACTTCACAATAGCCCTTGGAAGGTGGACACTAGTATTCCTGTGTTACGAGAGGAAAAAAAAAAGACTAGGCCCAGAGAGGCCAAGTGACTTGCTAGAGGTCCTGCGGCTAGCTGGTGGCAGAGCCCCAGGTCATCCCCCATCTGTCTGACTCTGGAGCCCCCAGACTGGTCCCACGTGACCAGAG